TTACGTGGTGTAATCCCGCAGTCCCAAATGCAAAAACTTTATTACATATTCGGAAGAATCACGCATTTAGTACTTACCTTAATATGTGTGGGATTACTGGCATATACAGTGTTATTATGCTAACGTGAATAGAATTTTATAATATTGGCGTATTTTTTGCACGTACAGTGACGAAACTTAACGATGTTTGTACTATTAGCTTTTTTGCAACCATGATTTATTCGGGATTACAGGATTGTGGGCATATTCAGCACATTAAGCAATGTAGCGTGCAAGAAACACGGGAGGACCATTACGATTATTGAATGAAGGTCAGTATAAAAAACAACGCTTATAGAGTGTTGTCTGTAACTCAATACTAAATATGTTAAACTAGTTTGTGTCCCATTTACCCAACGTTCAGTCAGATATAGATGCGTCTCAGCGGATCAGGGTCCGGACCAGCATGAGAACGCATGTTTAAAGACAACATTGCGCGTTGTATGATGTGTTCCCTTGACCAATACTATCAGGTTACTACAAGAATACCGCAATGTATGCACATAGGCAATACAGTAACACATATGTCTTTTCTACGGGTCGATCGTACTATAGTCATACTACCTTTGTGCATATTTGAGGTAATGAACTGATATTATTGGTCAGGGGGATACTATATACTATAATATAATGTTTTCATGTTGGTCCGGACGCTGGTCTGCTATGATTCATATATATTTGATCGAACGTTACATATGCGTTCTAGCAAATATTTTCATGTTTTAGTGAATATTTTTTCATTTCATTATAATAATAATGTACAATCTAAAGCGCCATATTGGACAATGTGTCGACTCCATGCAGATAGTGTGTGAGCTGTGAGCGAGTACACTATTGAACGTGGAAACGGCTCTAAATCAAATAATACACTGTTACAGTAGTTTAATGCGGTGGGCCTTATAATGACACTTGATGCTGATTATTGGACTGAAAATGTGCCATGTTCAGTATTGACAGTACAACTCTGGAAGGACAATTGGAATCTGCCAGGTGTGTTTTATGATTTACATAATGTTACGTCAAATAAGAAAGCGTTCGTGAACCTTCGAACACATATGTATGGCTTTTTACGAACGAATAAATTCAATTGTGTTCTATGTATAATAATGATTACTATTGCAAAAATGTTGCCAGAATATTGTGACATTTGCGAGAAAACCTTCGTGTGTGCGGTTGTCGTTGTCACTCATAGTGCCTGTAGTCTGTTTTGGTAGATGTGAATCGCAAAGAATCGCAATTACGAACTTTGCATTGTTTACTTGCTAGATTTCGTGTACTCTCGGCAAAACAAACCTCTTGTGTCTCGCTTCTATATGCTTAATCTTTGTGGATTGCGCTCTACACAACGTACACAGTGTGCCCATTATGTTGGTAAACTTTTCCAATTACTTTATGACATTCGTTTTCTACATTTTTGTAATGTTCATAGCTTTTTATTTTCTATTGATATATCGCATATAAATCCCACATCGCTACAATTGTTTTCAATGTTTATTATTATCATTTAATTGTACAATTTATTAGATTTTATTTATGATTTATGTTTATTTTGAAGGCCCGAGGAACATCATACAACAATTCCGGGTTCGGCCCACATCCTCTTACCCAATCATATGTCTTCCTTATGTGACCAATCACAAAAGACCGGATATATAGTATAACCAATCATAGCG